GTCAGGGGGTGGCTTTGTGTAGTATCTTTGAGTGGTAGGCATGGTGGCTCTGCCCCGAGGGACCGTCCAGCTGGGGACACTGACTACCCTGACATTTGCTCCTGGGCCTCCTGGTTCCAGTGATGACCGCAGCCCTGAAGCCTTCCGCTCGCGCATCGAGGCGGCCACGCAGATGGAGTCCGTCCTGGGCGCTGGTGGGAGACCCAACTGCCTGGTCATCGACGAGATCGATGGGGCCCCCACGGTGGGCCTCTTGGGTAGGCCGGCAGGTGGGCTGGTCCTCCTGCAGTGGGGGGCTATGACTCACTACCATCTGCATGTCCCCCCAGGCCGCCATCAATGTTCTCCTGAGTGTCTTGGACCGCAAGGGCCCACAACAGGCAGAGCCAGGGGGCCCCTCTGTGCCCACAGGTGGGGGGCGGCGGCGCCGGGCAGATGGGGGTCTCCTGATGAGGCCCATTATCTGCATCTGCAATGACCCGTGAGTGGGAGGGCGGGACTTCTGTCGGGGGGTGGGATCTCTGCTGGGACCCTTGTCCCTCGCTTCCCTTGCTGCTGGACTCAGGCAGCGCCCTGGCCAGGGGGGGCTCACTGTGCACGCCCTGGTTCCGCAGGTTTGTGCCCTCTCTGCGGCAGCTGAAGCAGCAGGCCCTCCTGCTCCACTTCCCACCCACGCTGCCCTCCAGGCTCACGCAGCGGCTCCAGGAGGTCTGTGAGGGTTGCCCTCCCTCCGCCATCTGCCCATGGCCCGCCAACTGCTCCTAGGACGTTGGGTGGAGGTCCTGGTCCAGTTTGTTCTCTGGTTGTGGGTGGTTCCAAGGCACAACTGAGCTCCTTCCGCAGGGCTCTTCGGCCTTTGCTCCCCATCAGACAGGAGCTGTTTCTAGGGAGGCGTTGGCTACAGGGCAGGGCTCAGGGGACACCCATCCTCCCACCTCTCTGCAGATCTCCCTGCGGCGGGGCATGCGGGCCGACCCTGGGGCGCTGGCAGCCCTCTGCGAGAAAACAGACAATGACATCCGCGCCTGCATCAACGCCCTGCAGGTGGGCAGGTGGCTATGGTGCGGGGGCAGAGGACAGGGGCGGCCAGTGCCCTCTCCACGCCTCCCCTGTGTCCATTTCCTGCTGGAGTGGGGGTCAGTCATCCTCACCCTCCCTGACCCCATGTCTAGTTCCTGCACAGGCGGGGCCAGCGGGAGCTGAGTGTTCAGGCCATTCAGAGCACACGCATTGGCCTGAAGGATCAGCGCAAAGGGCTCTTTTCCGTGTGGCAGGAGGTCTTCCAGCTGCCCCGGGCCCAGAGGTAGGCAGGCCACCCTTGGCCTGGAAGGTCCATGGTACCCTCACCCTGGGAAGTCAACCAGCTCTGCCTTTGCTGATGGAGCCATGGCACCCTGCCCTCCTGCAGGACCTCAGGGTGCCCTAAACATGCACAAGCCGGTGCTGCCGGGAGGACGAGGGTGGTAGGGCTGGGTCTGGGTGACGGGGCGGGGGCTCCACTCCAGCTTCAGCTGCCCCTGCAGGCGCCGCATAGGTCAGGACCCAACCCTGCCCACCCACATGCTCCTGCTTGGGGACCGGCTCTCGGGCTCGGGGCCCCTCGCTGCCGAGGCGCCTCTGACTGCAGCTGCGCAACGTTTCTACCACATCTTGCACATAGCCGCATCTGCAGGCGAGCACGACAAGGTGGTCCAGGTAACCGTGCTCCACCTCCAGTCTTGTGGGGGTTGGGGGGCAGGAAGCCTGGTTCTGGCAGCGTTTTTCAACCCCAGCCAGCAACTGACTGGGACTCGCATACTTCAGTGGTGCTGAGCCCAAGGAGAAACGGGTGGACCCGGCGCTTCGGAGGCCTCTGAGAGGGAGTGGGATCAGGCAGGAGGAAGGACTGACTGTGCCAGGAGGGGACGGCTGGCGGGGTTATCTGGTGGGATCTCTGTGTCTGCCCTTGGGGAAGTATCTAAAGGGCCCAGCAGTGGCAGGGGGGGCTGGATTCCGGATGTGAGCTGTGGGAACGGGGACATGGGTGCAGACGGGGTGGAGGGCAGGTGGCAGGTCGCCCTACCTCCACCCCCGGGAAGCCTGGTGTAAGCTGCCTCCTTGGCTAAGCAGCTTTGGATTAGCAGCTGGGGATCCTTGCAAATCCGGAAAACCACTGTGTGGAGGGCAGCGTGGTGGCTAGAGGGGAGGGACTCCCACGTGCAACGTGCACGGGGGCTCTGTGCCCTTGACCCTGGTGGACAGAGCTTCCCTCTCCTTTAGGGGGTGACTGGGGGCTTCTTTCTCACATGTCTCGGGTCTGGGTCAGATGAGTGGAGGCAGCAGGCTAGGCCTTTCTGGCCCCCTCATGGCCCTGGGGCCACTCGCTGGGGCTCACAGGCTGGTGGGAGGAGAATGTCCCCCAGGGTGGCGCTTGTGCTGTGGGTGGGTGCCGTGTGGCTGGAGGGCCTCAGGGACTGGCCCGTCCACCTGCCTGCAGGGCCTGTTCGACAACTTCCTGCGGCTGAGGCTGCGGGACTCCAGCCTGGGCGCCGTGTGCACTGCCCTCGACTGGCTGGCCTTCGACGACCTGCTGGGCCGGGCTGCCCTCCACGGCCAGAGCTTCCAGCTGATGCGCTACCTGCCCTTCCTGCTCCCTGCCTTCCACCTGCTCTTTGCTTCCAGTCACGTGCCACGGATCGCCTTCCCCAGCAGCCAGCAGGAGGTACGGCTTGTGCCCTGCCCGGGGCCAGGGTCTAGCCCGGGGTCCTTCGTGACTTGGTCCTGGTCCACCCTCCACCCCAGGCCCAGAATCGCATGAACCAAACACAGAACCTGATCCAGACGCTGGTGTCGGGCATCACGCCAGCCACCCGCAGCCGGGCTGCGCCGCAGGCGCTCATCCTAGACACCCTCTGTCTGCTCCTGGACATCCTCACGCCCAAGCTGCGCCCAGTGAGTGCCTGGCCTGGAAGGGGCATGCTTCCTGGGGCGGGTGGGCCCTGCCTGTGCTCAGTGCCCTGCTGGCCCACAGGTGAGCACACAGCTGTACAGTGCCCGAGAGAAGCAGCAGCTGGCCAGCCTGGTGGGCACCATGCTCGCCTACAGCCTCACCTACCGCCAGGACCGCACCCCTGACGGGCAGTACATCTACAGGCTGGAGCCGTGAGTCTGCGCAGCACCTGGGCTGGGGGTGCTGGGGCAGGAGGCCGGGGCGCTGGGCTCCAGGTGCCACAGCGACTGCTCAGCCAGAGTCTGAAGGCATGGTGTGAGCCTCAGTTCTCCTGTTGGAGGCTGGGGGAGTCAGTTCTAGCTCATTCCTTGCCCGAATGTGACTGTGCCGTGGAGCAACCACTAGGGCTTACCCTGGGGCCGGAGGTGTACCGCGGAGTCCCTCAGTGCCCCCAGGAGCTGCCCCAGAGGGCCCTCGAGCTCCCCAGGGCTCCACTCTGTCCTGAGAGGGTTGTGGGGTGGAACGCCCGCACCAGTGGGGGCTGGATGCAGGCCTTGGGCAGTAACGACGCTCGTTCTCATGCGCTCAGCTCAGCCTGAGCCCGGGCCCTGCAATGTGGTGTCAGTTCCTCCCTGGGCAGCCCTTCCCCTGCCCACGTGTGGTGGGGAAACTGAGGCTCAGGGTGGGAATGCCCCTGCTGCTGCGGAGCTGGGGCACGGCAGGGCCAGGCCTGGACCCTGTCCTGCACTTTTGCGTCTGGCAGGTGGGGTCAGAGGTGCTAAGTAGCTTGTGGCCTGTTCCTGCTGACTGGGTGTCCCGGGGCCTGCCCTGCCCCGCTCACCCCAAGAGCAGGAACGTGGAGGAGGTTTGCCGCTTTCCCGAGCTGCCCGCCCGTAAGCCCCTCACCTACCAGGCCAAGCAGCTCATTGCCCGCGAGGTGGAAGTGGAGAAGATGCGGCGGGTGGAGGCCTCGGCTCGGGCCAGAGACAGCTCCCAGGTGAGCCTCCCCAGGCCCAGGGAAGAGCAGGGCCCTCGGAGTGGACACGAGCCCTGCCGTGGCCCTGCCCAGTCAACTGTCGCTGTCCGTGACTTCTTGCAGGTGGATGGGGGTCCCCTGGGGGGCACGGGGGAGAAGGAGGTGCAGCCACCTGCCCCGTGCAACCACAAGCAGCGGCTAGAGTGTATCCTGAAGAGAGCTGCCCTGGAGGAACAGGTAGGGGCTGACGTGTCGGTGGGAGGCTGTGGGGGCGTCACTGGGGGGCCTGGGAAGGCAACTTTGGAGTGGCCTTGTTTTAAGTCCTGGAGTCCAGCTCCCTGCTGCTCAGCATGATGGCTCCGCCTGGGCCCGGTTCCCACCTGGGCAGGGTGCTGGTACCTCCTGACCTTGGCAGGGAGGTGAGTGTGAGCGTGGTGGAGGGCGCACACAGAGAGGCTCAGCGGGAGGGGGCCGTGGCCTCCGGGCCCTCCCCCCAGGTAGGGCTAGTTGGCTAGGGCTCAGTCCCCATGAACCTGACCAGCCTGTCTCCTTCAGCCTGAGAGGGACTTCTTCGGTCGTGTGGTTGTCAAGAGAGCAGCAGCCCCGAGTGCAGGTGTGTGTGGAGGGGTGGGCGGTGGAGGGACTGGCCGGAGTCAGGTGGAGGAACGACTGTGTGGCCCCCGCAGGGTACGAGGCCTCTGAGACTGACACGGCCGAGCGGCGCGTGGGCACCGCGGTGGGCAGGAGCGACGTGTGGTTCCGCTTCAAGGAGGGCGTCTCCAATGCCGTGCGGCGCAGCCTGTACATCAGGGACCTGCTCTAGGAGGCATAGCGAGCCCCTGGGGCCTGGGCGGCCACCTTGGGCTGTGCTGGACACCCCGACCCACGCTGGACGTCCCCAGGGCCTATGCCAGACACCCTAGTCCATGTTGGACACTCTGAGGTCACGCCAGACACCCTGGACTGCACCAGACATCCCCTGATACACACCAGCTACCTAGGTGTTGGCTTTCTCTCTCCTAGAAAGTGTACAAAAGCAGCAGCATTCTCGCAGAGTCTTTATAAAAGTCACACCTTTACAGAGGCGTCCACTTTACAGGGAGGCGTGAGTCTGGGCCGCGGGGCCTCACAGGATGGTGCACTTGCCCTTCTCCACCCATGGGTTGTTCTTCATCAGGTCTGGGTTCAGGAAGGGGTCCTTGGGGATCCCTTCCTCGATCCACTTGAGGAGCCTGTGGGTGGGGAGGGTGGGTGAACACGTGGGCTCCTGGCCCCCAGAGTGCTGCCTGATGGCAGTGCATGGGGGTGTGGTCTTGGCTCATACAAATGAGCAGGGGCAGGGAAATGAGACGCAAATCTTGCCAGTCTGGGGGGTGTGGCCACGGCTCCGCAGGGTATCCTGGGGACTCACTCGGGGATGGTCTTGGATGACATCTCCCTCTTGAAGGCCAGCTGGTACTTGAGGCTCTCGACCTCCTTCTTCATCTGGGGCACGTCCCACTCCTCCATGGCATCGGGGGCTTCGGAAGTGGCCAGCCTGGGGCTGGGGAGTATGGGGCAAGTCACAGAGCTGGGGGCTGCCAGCCTGCAGTCACCCTCCTGATGCACCCTCCCCCTGGTAAGCACCCTCCACACAAAGGGACACCCGCTCACTGCCTGGGGAGTCCCCACGGCCTCTGCCACGCACCGGGGAACAGGGCTGGAGCTGAGGCCACACTAATCAGGCCCCACGTGCCTGCCCCCCACCTCCCATGGGGCTCGTTAACTGCAGAGAAAACTTTCCATGCCTAGCTCTGCACCCCTACCTGCCATCGAAGCCTCACCAAGGCTGGGCCTCTGGGTTGGAGAGGGGAGGGGCAGTGTCCTGCCAACAGCAGGACTGGTCAGGTTACTGACCCTTAAAGTGCAGGACCCATTTCCCATCCAGGTAACAGGAGACCCTTGTGTCGGGGGCGGGACACACACATCCACACACACCCCTCCCCCTGCTTTGCATGGGCAAAGCCCACCCCAGAGCAGGTTAATCCTGGGGCCAGGAGGGTGGGGCTGCTATTTGCATCTCTGCCTGGGGGTTGGGGTGGGGCAAGCGCTGGGGGTCTTGGAGTCAGGGGCTACCCAGCTGGTCCAGGACTTGGGGGCCCCTGCGGCCTCCTGCTTGCTGCCTGGTGCCTCCTCCAACTTGCCTGAGTGTCTGGCCAGTGTCTGCCAGTATGTGGGCCACCCGGCAAAGCCACAGGTTCAGACTCGAGACCCCGCCAGCAAGTGAAGGGAGGGAAGGCCGCTCCTTGCATCCCCCTGCTCCAGCCCACTCGGGGGTCCAGGGAGCCCCTTGCTGTCCCCCAACCCCCGCCCCCATCACTGAAACTGGGAGCCAGGGGACTGGCTTCTTTGACCTGGGAAGTGTGGGCAGGGGCTGCCAGGAGTGTGACACTGCCTACCTCTGGCTGCGGAAAGGGCTCCTGGGAGGGTCTACCAGGAGGGGGTGAGACCTGGGGGGTAGCCAGTGGGGGCGAGAGGGGCTTCCTCCCAGAGAACCCGTGTTCCAGCACCCCACCTGGCGGTGCAGGTTCTGAGTCACGTGGGCGCGGGCCCCCCCAGACTGGGGGCGGGGGGCCGACAGGCCCGTCCGCAGCCCCCGAGCCCGCCGCCGCCAGCCCTACCTGCGCGGAGCCGCCGCCGCCGCGCCCGCCGCGCGCCCCTGGCGTCGGCGAACAGCGCTCGGCTCGCTCTGCAAGCAGTGCGGACGGGCGGCGCACACGGCGCACAGACGCGGTTCCCCTCGCAGCCAACCGGCGGATGGAGGGAGCCTCTCCACCGGTTTGGCCGGCCCCTTTGGACAGGAGGAAGCCCAAAGACGGACAGGCAAGGGCGCCTCGGGGGTTTGGGGGGGGGGGGTGTCCAGGTTAGCCCAGTGGGACCTGGGCGGGCCCCAGAGTCTCTGCTCAGCACAGGGGCGAGCTCCCCAGACCTACCTTGGACGGTGACCGCGAGGACAGAGATGAGGACGGCCAGGGGATGGCGAGGACGAAGTGATGGGCGAGCGAGTCGGGCACAGGCGGGCAGAGCCTGGGCAGGTGCCCCGCCCATCCCACCACCTGGGCCGGGCCCGGGCACCGCCCCCACCCGCTGCCCGCCCTCCTCAGGCCTGGGCTGACCCTGGGGAGCTGGCTTCGTCAGGCACACTCTGCCAGCCTTTGAGGGGTGGGAGGTGCAGCAGGAGCAGTGTGGGCTCAGCTCTGGCCCTGGGCAAGCTGTCCTCCCACTGCGCTGGGTGGGCTTGCAGGCTGCCACGTGGTGCAGAACCGGAGACCATCAGCTGGTAGATCGCACCCCGCCCCCTGGTGCTCCTCGTGGGCTGGAGTCACCAGGCCAAGATGCCAGCCCCCCACCCCCACCCCTGGGCCTCCGCAGTGTCCGCTGACAGGCCTGGGGCTGCCCCACCACGGGCGTGAGCCTACTCTGACCAGGGCACCTGGGCCTGTGTGGAGTTGCTTCCTGTCCTGCATCCCCAGGCCAGCGGTGGGCAGATGGGCAGCTGTGGTGGGTGTCAGGCTCCAGGTCACCAACCACTCCCCTAGGAGGTCAGGCCCCGTGGCTCCCCAAGACACCTGGGCCAGGCCTTTGACAGGTGCTCCCACTCTGGAGCGGGACAGGTCCGGGGTGCTCCCCGCCCGCCCCGGGCCCTCCCTGCTGTGATGGCAGAAAACAAGGTCAGCGGCGCCTGCCCGGCCCTCTCCCACACCGACGTGATGATGGAACAGGAGGCGCTTCTGGAACTGGGGCATGTTAGGAAAACTAGGGATTATTTCTTATGGATTTATGGGGGGGTGGGGGGCGCTTAGAGCCGAGGGTGCCAGCATCCTCCTTAGGGCAGATGGCCAGCAGTTTTGACCTCACTTCCCCCACCCCCGCCTGGTTCCTCTGGTGCTCTATGACTGGACAGGCACCCTGTTACTCCGGGTGCCTGGGGCTCTCCTGTGGCTGGGGCCCTGCTCACAAGGGGTGGGTGCTCAGGCATGGTGTTGACTCAGCCCCCAGAACTGGCTCCAGATTTAGATTGAAACCAGGCCAGCCAGTCCCTGCCCCCAGCCATGCCTTCCCCACAGAGGGTGCAGGTAGAACGGGGAACCCAGGACTGCGTTCTGGCCCTGGGAGGAGCCTTGGTGCGACGTGGTGGGGCACAGCCCCTGTGCTCTGTTCTGGGGCCTGTGGCGTGTGATCTCTCCTCCATGGTTCGGAGTGCTCCACTGTGACCACTGCACACAGGCCTTCATGATGGCACTTGAAAATGCCTGGGTGTCAAAAAAAAAAAAATGCCTGGGTGTCATCACCTCACCAGGATGGCAGGAGCTGTGTGGGGCGTGGGGTCCTGCATTCCCGCTCTGCGTGCTGTTTCCTGACTGTGAGCACTGGTCACACCTGCTGCCCCATGGACCCTCAGGGTTCAGAATCGATCCCTGTGCTGACCCTGGTGGCCCTGTGGGACAGAGGCTGTGACTCCACACGGCAGTCAAGCTGATGTGTGCCTGCTCATGTGAGCCTGTGAAGCCGCTGTCTTTGGTGAAAACTGGGGGACTAGTGACTCCTATTTCACCTTCCTGGGAGTTTGGACTTGTCAACCCCAGATACCGCAGAGGGACTGGGTGGGTCTGGAATGAACAGAGGCCTAGTGGTTTGCGGTGGGGGGAGGATGCTCCAGAAGCAGTGACAGCTGGTGCTCCAGCTGATGCCACCTTGCAGTCACCCAGAGCAGACCCAGGGAGACCAACCGCCTTTCTGAAATTAGCTCCCCTAACTAGGCTGCTGGTGAGAACCAACAGGTCTCCTCACTGGCCTAGAAACGGTCGTTCCAGGTCCCACGCCCGTAGGGCTCCTGAGAGCAGGGAGCCGGCTGGGCTCCCAGGGATGTGACGGGTGTGGGGGCAGATGCAGCAAGGCAGGGTCCCTTTGTGCTGGTTTTGGTGCTCAGGACGAGTCAGTGGTGTGTGGGGCGCCCTGACACTTTGAACAGGGTCCCCAAGGAGGACTCGGGGGGGCAGGGGCGGGAAACGCCCCAACCCGATAGGACCTGCAGCCTGGTTCGGTCCCAGTGCCACTCGAACCTGTGGCCTTGCTAGGCAGGGGCCAGAGATGAGGCCGGCCTCTCACCTGGTCCGTTCTGAGTATGCAGAACATGCTGGTGACCCAGAGCCACCTGGTGCTGTCAGCTCCCCGCCTGGTCCTGAAACCAGGCTCTCTTGCACATGGGGCCCCAGCAATGAAACGTGCAGCTGGGGCAGATCTGGCCCCATGTGCTGGCGTGATGAGGCCCGTGTGAGAACACCTCCCCTGTGTCTGCAGCTTTGCTTCGGACCGTGGGGGGTGGGGTGGGGTCAGACCCTACACACAACCCTCCCATGGCAACAGGCCTGGCCTCTGGTGAGAAAACTTAAGTAGTCCATGCTGTAGAACCTAGGCCTGGCAGGAGACGGTGGGGGCCCAGCCTGCCAGCACCCATCCCAGGGTAGGTGTGGGACCCTCTCTACTACAACAGGCTGACTCCCCTCCTGAGGCCTCAGGGGATGTGCCTACTTGTCTTCCATTCCTGGAAACAGCTGTCTGAGGTGAACATGGGGATAGGAAGATAAAAAAGAAACTATTTCACCCAGTTAAACAGAGCTCACAAGAAACTAGGTAGTTCTTGGATAATCTTTGAGTGTTTGAAAATGACTTCCAAAAATAATTTAAGCTCTTAGACTCATGTGTGCAAAGTGCAAACTCGTGTGTGCACAGTGAATGATTCCAGGGAATCACAGGTTCTAATTGGCGTAAGCTGTGAGTCATAAAGTCTCAGGGAAGTGACTCTGGTTAAGCAGTTTATTCTAATGGCTCTGCAGCCCACAGGTGACTCCCTCTCCTTCTCCAGTCCTCCCAAGACATTGGCTCCTGCCGGCATGTGGGTCAGGAAGACGCACATGGTCTGTACCTTGGTGCTCCTGAGGTTCAGGAAGAGGCCGAGGGCCTGCACCTGTCTAAGCACCAAACCCTCCAGTGCTCACAGGCCATGGGGGTCCCCTTCTGATGAGGCCAGTGCCACTTAGGGGTCCTGCATATTGCTGGCAGGTCTACTGGTCTGCACCCCCAAAAGGCCTTTCGTCATGAGGGTGGGTGAGTGGGACGAATGCACACGTCAGGCCACCAGTGTGTTGTCACCCAGGCCTGCCTGGGCATGGCTCTAGGTTTTCCCTCTCGACCTGCAGCTGCACTCCCAGGTCTGTGCAGCACTGAAGAAAATTCTACCTGATCATGCGGCAGCTATACGAGTGGAGCTGGGGGTGTGTGGAGGGCCCCCCCAACTCTGTCTCACAGCTGCCATAACCACCCCCACTCCCCTGCCGGGTGGCCAAGTGTGGTGGGCCTTGCGCCTTCAGCAGGTATGCTTCTGGTCCCAAGGGATATGCCCACCACGTAGGGGTGGATGGAAGAGGCTCCTAGAAAGTTTCAGTGCCCAGAGGTTTTCCACAAAAGCAGAAGAGACACTTTAGGGAACGTTGTTGTCAGCTGGGGCTGCCTCCCACGGCAGGGATGATGCCCAGCAGTGCTCACTGCCCAGAGTAGGTCTGATGAACTGGCTGAGCAGGAAACTGAGGCCCCAAGGCTCTGGGCTTGCCCAGGTCTCACCCTCGGTTTTGTGTCCATCTAGTGACTTCCCTCAAACAGCTGGAACCCTGCCATCTGCTTATTTCATTAGAAGCTGCATTAGCTCTGGTGACTGCAGAGTGCAAGTGACTGAATGGGGACCCTCGACTATCACAAAGATCTCTCCCCAGAAAGGACCCCCGTCCTGTGCCAGGGGGCGAGGTCTCCCATGGGGACCAAGGACATCGTTCACCCCTCCCAGGTTCAGAGCAGGGCTCCTTCGCCTGGGCCACGTCTGCCACTTCTGGATACAGTCTACGCAGACTGCTCTGCAGAACTTGACACTAGAGTTACAAGGAATCTAGAATTCAACCTCCCGGGGAAGGGTCTGTCATGTGAAACGGGGAAGGACCAAGCCAATGGGAGTCTACGCAAGGAGCAAACGCGGGAGAGCGTCCTGGACTGCGGGCGGAACCGGCGGGACGGCTCTGAGGTGTGCTCGGCTCGCTGCTCGGCTTCACCAGGACGAATCTGCTCCGGGCTTGGCTTCCAGAGGACCCAGGCGGTGCGGAGGGGCGAGAGGAGCCCACGCACCGCGGGGCCCTGGCTGCTCGGGCGCTGGGACCGCAGGGCAGGCTCGGGGGGCTTCCCCTCACGGCCAGGATGAGGACAGGGAACTCGCCACAGACGTCGTTATCAGAAGTCTTAACTGGACGAGGACTCCTAGAACGGAGGCTGACGGCCAGTTTAGCTAAAGAACTTAAACGAAACAAGTTTCCGGCGCTCTTACTAGTGTTAACGTGCGGTGTTTCTCGTGAAGACAGTACCGAGCGGCTCCGCGAGGGAAGGCCCGGCAGCAGGCTCCGGGCACCTCTGCCGCTCCGCGATCCCCGTCGCTGCCGCACTTCCACAGCCCGCGCTGGAAGCCCAGTGCCGCCCTGGGAGACCCCTTCCGGGTCTAAGCGTGGAGGGGGCGGGGCGAGTAGGGGGCCTGCCCCTGGGCGAGGGGCGGGGCTTCTGTAGGACGCCGTTCTGCGTGACGCAGCCATCTTGGAGCCGGGAGGTGGAGTCTTCTGCGAAGGCGTGGCCAGAACGGAGGTGACATTGTCACCTGTCATGCTCAGGTGTTCCCTTGGCCTGGCTTCTCAGCCTCCTGTTAAGTTATGGCAGGTACCTCTGAGGTGGCCAGGCATCCCCAGCCTCCCACGGCGGCAATGGTGAGTGAGACCGTCCGCCCGAATCTGTGAAAAAAGGGGAGATGTTGAAGACTAACGACAGAGCCGTCAGGGTGCCTCTGCCCAACCCATATTCCCCCTCTCGGGTTCCCCACCTCAGGTCCCACCTTTCAGGTCCCACCTCAGTTCCCCCCTCTCAGTTCCTCCCTCAAACCTCCTCACCTAGGTCCCTTCTCAAGGGACACCCCTCCT